TTATCATATTCTGAAATAAAAATACAGAGTGAGTAGAAAGGAACACAGTGACATGAAAAAGGAAAGGAAGATTCCTAACCCAGACAGAAAAACAAAAGAGACATCACAAAGATCTTGCAGATGGGATTAGAATGAGAGACGTCAAGTTAGCTACGTGAACTCTTCTGCAAATGCTGCTAGAACTGAAATTGTTGTTGTTCAGTCACACAGTTGAGTCCGACTCTTTGCGACCCCATGGACCAGATCACGCCAGGCCCTCCTGTCTTCCGCCGTCCTCTGAAGTTGGCTCAATTTCATGTTCGTTGCATCTATGTCTAATCATCTCATCCTTTGCCGTCCCCGTCTTCTTTGACCTTCAATCTTTCCCAGCATCAGGGTCTTTTCCAGTGAGTGCTCCCTTCTCATCTGGTGGCCAAAGTATTTGAGCTTCAGTTTCATTATCTGGCCTTCCAGGGAACAGTCAGGGTTGATTTCTTTTAGGATTGACTGATTTGATTTTTTTGCAGTCCAAGGGACTCTCAAGAGTCTTCTCCAGCACCATAGTTCGAAAGAATCTATTCTTCGGCGCTCGGCCTTCCTTATAGTCCAACTCTCGCAGCCATACATGACTACTGGGAATACCATTGCTTTGACCATGCGGCCTTTTGTTGGCAGGGTGATGTCTCTACTTTTTATCATGCTGTTTAGGTTCGCCATCGCTTTCCTCCCAAGGAGTAGGCGTCTTTTAATTTCATGGCTGCTGTCACAGTCTGCGGTGATCTGGGATTCCAGGAACGTGAAGTCTGTCACTACTTCCACGACTTCCCCTTCTATTTGCCAAGGAGTGATGGGGCCAGATGCCATGATCTTAGTTTTTTGAACTGAACTGAAATACAGAAATGGAAAGCCTGTTCCCTTCTCCAGAGCTAAAGCAACTTCCAAGATTAATCAAATGAGAGGAAATATGATCTGTGGCAGATATTTTTTGCAATTTATAGCTATATAGGGGAAGAAGGTTGCAAGTTGCCAACAGGAAAGACTAGTTTTGATTCTCTGTTCACAGCAGAATTATGACATCACCAACCATGTCAAGGCTACTCCAAAAGGGAGAAGTTCTTATTTAGAGGCAGGCAGGAAAAAGACTGCATATACAACACAACATAGCCTGTCTCCATGTCCCATGGTTGCAATCAAGTGAACATAATATGCCATGCCAGGTAATTGGGGTGTTGGGGACCTGAGTGACCCCCAGGCTCCCTGACTCTGCTGGTAGCCAGGGACCTACTCTCAGTGTCCATGCACCAAAGCAGCAGCACATGTGGCCCCTTCAAGGGCAAACCTGTTGCTCTACTGCTTGATAAGGACTGGCCCTTTAACAGCCCACTGCCTGATAAGCAGCTGGGACGCAGCCTTGAGTCAGTGGTGAGGAAACAAAGAGATGAGTCACAGCTGAGATGTGGGGGCTGCAACAGCTCCCTACAAGAACTGCTCACATCCCATGAAAGTTACAGAGGAGTGAAGCCTCCAAAGGGGCTGGTCCCAGGATGAGCTGGGCCCTTCAAGGCAGAGGGAAATAGGTCAGAGAGGACATGCTGGCTCCTGAGGTTGACAGGAGCAAGGTCAGGAGAGAAGTGAGAAACCAGGGTGATTGAAACCTCCTTCCCTCTCAGTTTGAGGCTCATGGGTGGGTATGCAAGTGCCTTGTGCTGGCAAGGATCTGCCAGACTTGTGCATGTTTTTTATACAGGGATATTGTCAGCAGCAACTGTGGTCTCAGCTGTTGGAAAAAATAGACAGCATGAGGAAAGAACTACACATAGTGAGGCTTGGGGATTGCCACCACCAGTGAGGTGTGGTGGGGTTGAAAGATTTGCCAGAGTTACTTGTAACTTGTCTTGTAATAAAACACACACAGAATGAACGGCAGGAAGGAGAGGAGATGCCTGTCATCAATCCCCCTGCATTTCACCTTCTCCATCATATTTTGTCAGTTTTTTCTCCAACCAGTCTAAAGAAGCACATCTGACTGGGAGGGATAACAATCGTGGGAAGGGGTGTTTGCAGGGGAGAATTGGGGGACATGGGAAGAACTGAAATACTTACTGATTCTGACCTGTAGATGACACTGACTCCCATATATGCATTACTTCCACACATATGGTCTTGGGAACATGCATTTCCGACTGTAACGTGTAGTTCCTATCCAACTGTTCACTAGAAATTCACGCTTCTTTCATCCCACACCACAGCTAACTACAGCAAGCTATCTGTCTGACAGCGGCTGGAAGCCAAATTCTGGACCTTTAGTCTGACCCGGCAGGACTGTTCTTATGCAGACTGGTTCACACAAAGCCCTACTGTGTAGGCTGCACATAAGGAGGAATGTGCAAAGGGCCCAAGGCTCATAAATCTCAACCCCATTACAGAACCTTGAGCATGAACCCAGGCCTACATGAACAAGTGTTTATAAAGAGCATGCCACACCCAACCACCAAACTATGGAAAAAGAGACAACATATTAGAGGAGCAGGGCTCACTTCTTCAGAAATTATTTGCGTAGGCCTCAGTCACCATTCATGGTTCTATATGCAGTGAGGATTTGTGCCTATGCACTCACCACACAAAACAACTTGGTCTGCATTTGATTTGGCCTCTAAGGCATCATGAATTCAAGGAGCCAAAGGCAAGCAACCCTAAGAACAAATACATGCAATGTTCAGTGACTGCCCAACCCTATAGTTTGTTAGAGAAAAGGATTATCTCATTTCAAACACAGCAGGTCATTAGAGTTTGCCAATTAAATCTTAGACTGTGAACTCAGTCTGTATTACCAAACCAATTCACATAACCTGTCCAAAATAAAACTAGGTCTTGCATTGTGGGCAGCAGCAGATACAATTTCTGAGATTATTTTACCCAAATGACTCATTCTTTCCCACATGTTTGAGCTCTTTGTATGTGGTCTGCATTGGTGCCCTTGACTGTAATAATGGCATTGGATACCCTAAACAAGCATGGTTTATATTACCTGCCTATTATTACACTTCCACACAGAACTGGGGCATGTCACATAGTGTCTCAATCAGTAATCATAAGTAGAGTCTTCAGAAGGAAGTGAAGCTTTGTAAGGAAAAAAACCTATATGAGTTTTTAAAATCAGGAATGTGTGCAGCATGCCATACACAAAGAAAAAGGAGACCCACCTGTCTCAGTCTACATAAAGAAATGTCCAAAAGATTTTATGAAGTGGGTCCAATAACCAGCAGCAATCCAAATGCAACAAGAAGCAATACTGTGCCCAATGCAGCCCCTTCCCCCCATATAGTCAACCCTACATAATGTGTTTGATCTCAGTCATTCTTTACTCCCCTCGGTCCCTCCCACTCTCCTTCCTCTATCATTTCCCTGCTGTTAAAATTTAAACTGAAAATTCCCTAGGGGCAGGGACCATTTTCTTTTTTGTTTACCTAAGGACAGATATGAATGATACTGTATAAAACCAATAGCGCAGTCACAACTGAACCATTGACAGCTATCAGTCTCCAAAGGAAAAACTAATTCCTGACAACTAAGAATCTGTAATTTAGACAGAAAAGTTTGCATGATTCTATACCAACAAGCAGCCAGTCCAGGTTACCTTATCTTGTGTTTAATACATAGTGGCAAGATTAGGTGCAGGGAGATATGGGGTTAAACAATCTGCATTCTCTGCTCAGTTTCATCCCTACACTACCATTCACTCCTTGTTCTCCTCTGCATCCTAAATGCCTCCTACTCAATTCCCTTTTAAAGTTCCTCTCCAAAACAAGCCACTTCCCAGGTTTCTGAAGCATCCATACAAAGAGTTTACCCCTAAGGCTCCTGATTTTTCTGCACATTACATATTGCCCTGGATTCTATAACAGAGATAAGTTGCCAGCCAACAATTTGAGGGAAATAATTCATTCCCACAACCTGGAGACCATAATTTTTACTGTGCTAATTCTATTAATCTTAGGATTTATCCATCGAGTATGTAAAATGTGAGAAGCAGGAGAACAGATCTTGCAAAAAGGGACATTTGCAATTCAACAGACATGCCCTGCTTTAGTTAGAATGACACGGCAACATCCAGCCCGCCAGTCACCGGCCCCAGTGGGCACAGGCTCCAGATAGAACTTGACAGTTTTGACACATTGCAGCCACGTTCACACATCCCTACGACACCTGCAGAGGAGGCAAGATATCAGGGAATAGTAGCAGCCTTCCTGCCTTGGGTATAATAAAATCTACACAAACTTCACACACATCACACTAAGGCAGATAACCAGGCAAGCATATTCCCTTTTCTATTTTTTTTTTATTAAAGAAAGTTGAGTGTTTTGCTAGGGACACATATCTGGCAGAAAAGCCACTACTTTTCTTTCTGGGCGCAGAGACTCAGGCAGCAGATTTTCTGCCAAGAGAGCTGCTGCTCTCCAGATCCAATCCAGCAGTTTCATTTTAAACCAACCTTTAAAACAAATACAAGGGAGATGTAACATAACCCTTCCCATCCCGCCACGGAACTCTTCGGGGCACTAATCCTGCTGTCCAAGAGGCTGGTCAACGTGCACAGTCCCGCCTTTGTTAAGCCAGCACTGGTTCATGAAGGCAGCGCTGGCGTTAAGAACTTCCTTCCTGCTTTATCTGTTAGGAAGTTACCAGTCCATGCACAGAAAATTCCAGTTGCAAACATTCATGCATGGTGAATCCAGCGGGGAAGGGAAGAGACCACACAGAAGGAATCAGCGAAAAAAAGGAAGGGGGGGGGAATCTCTTCGTCTCTTTGCCAGGTAGTTGCAGCCAGCTTCTCTCCCCAGGGACAGATGCCTGTGCAGAACCCAAACACGGCAACTCCGGCAAAGGCAGAAGGCTCGCTCCCATGTGGAGAAGAAGAAATGACTAGAGATTGTTCAGAGGCTTCCCGGTGCTCTCAATCCCGCCAGCCCCATTACTTACACAAACACACACAAACCCCGAACACACACGCTCGCACTCACATAATGTTTGTTGGGAATTCGCCTCTTCTGCACGTCCAGCACCTTCACCTCCAAGATACTCTTCCGGGGCATAGCTTTGGTTCTCTGCAACCCGCACCCCAGAAGGAAAAGGGGGTGGCGGGAAATGTGCAAATCTCAGCGTGGGAAGGGGAGCAAAGAACCCCCTTCGGCCAAGCTTTCAACACAGCTAAAGCTCCTAGCACAAGCCTGCAAACTTCAGAGCAGAAAGATCGCGCTGCTGGGAAAGAATAGCCCGATCCACGGCTCTCTTGGCGTCCGCTTCCTCTACCCCCCCCCCCCCGCTCTCACCCCTCCCCCCTTTCCTCCCTGTCCAGAGTTTGCAGATGCAGGACTCCTCCCAGCCCATCCCTGCCAAGCAACCTATCCCACTCAGGCAGAGGCAGTATGGTTAGGCGCTCAGATCCAGCCCAGCTCCCTGGGTTCTTAAAGGGCCACGACCACCGCTTAGCTCACGGCGCTTACAAAAACACACCCCAACACCGTATAATAATATAATCCTATCCAGTTTTGTCGGCTCGCCCTTACTACGCAGCTGTACTTTACACGCGGAAGGAAAAGGCACAATTTTGCAGTTATGGGTGGAAGCCAAACGTGCCCCGTGAATCAACACGCCCCTGCCCGCTGTGCTGTCGCGAGCCACTGAAGCGGCGTGCCAAAAAACGCACAAGGCTTGCCTTCCTTTTTGAGCACCACCTCGTGAGCACCGCGGCTAGTTTCCGAGCGGGGGTGGGAACAAGTGGGAGAAACAGGGGATCCGGGGAAATGTAGCCTTCGATTAATATTAAAGGAGGAGGGAGAGAAGAGCTCGTTAAATGCAAAGACTATTTTAACCTCCATTTGACCTCAGGCCCCCTTTCCCAGGGAGGGATGGAGTCGGGCGCGAAACAGCAGGCGAGGTCAAAACCAGATGTTGCCTTTTGTTGTTAAAAGAGTAAAATGGTTAATTAATCGTCCTTTGAAACTGCAAAAATGGAACCCTTCGGTGTCTGCTTGCACGAGGCAATGGCTCAGTTGGTTTTCGAAAGTGGAGGAAGGCGTCCTTCGGACCGTCACAGAAATGGATACGCTCTTTCAGCTCGTTTTGATGAATGGATAGCTGCCTCTGAAAAACAGCGGGCAACTTCGTGCTGCAAAAACTCCAAGCCCCTGTTATTAAATCATGTTCTATCGAGCTGAGTGGGGGTGGGATGCAGCCGGTTCTGAAAATGCACGCACTTGCAACAAGAGGGATTTTGTGTTTGTACGGGAGTCCTGTACACACGTTACAGTGAACGCTTGCATATCTTCTATGTATGCACCTAAATCTTTTGTATGGGTGTTTCATTTTAAAAATAACACCAGGACCCAACAGTACCTGCATAAATGTTTTATTAAAAAGGGGGGGGGTGTTAAATGTAACAAGAATTGTTCACAGGAAAGCATATACCTTGAATAAAACTCTGTTGGTCTTAAAGGTGCCACTGGACTCAAACTTTGTTCTGCTGCTTCAGACCAACATGGCTGACCACCTGAATGTGTTGAAGAGATTATGCATATTTTGTCCACAGATGCCCCACTACACACTACAGGGAACATGCCTACCTCTGCTTTTCAGAAAGCCTTTATTTATGTACTTGATTTCTATGCCACCATCCTTCCCAAAGGGACTGAAAATGGCTTAAAAGGTAAAGGTTCCCTTGCTCGAAAGCCAGTCGAATCTGACTCTAGGGTTGCGGTGCTCATATCCGTTTCAAAGCCGAAGAGCCAGCGCTGTCCGAAGACATTTCCGTGGTCATGTGGCCGGCATGCTAAACACCAAGGCGCACTGAACGCTGCTACCTTCCCACTGAAGTGGTACCTATTTATCTACTTGCAATTTCTTGCTTTCGAACTGCTAGGTTGGCAGGAGCTGGAACTAGAGATGGGAGCTCACTCCATCATGCTTACCTTGTTCTTAATTTTATCCTCACAACAATCCTGTGAAGTAGGTTAGGTAGATTAAGTTGAGAGTGTGTGGACTGGCCCAAGGTCCTCCAGTCAGCATCTGTGGCAGAGAAGGGCTTCGAACCAGTATCATTGAAGACCTAGTCTGACATTCTAACCACTATACGATGGCTATAAAGTACTAATGTGTATACATTTTTTAAAATAAAGTGTAAAAATATCTATACCCGGTTTTGGGGATCCAAACTGACTCACAATACTGTTCTTACCTTCCCCATTTTATCCTCCCAACCGCCATCCTTTCAGGTAGCATGGCTGAGTGAGCGTGACTAGCCCAAGATCAACCAGACAGTTTCTATGGCACATGCCAATGTGTCTTTGCTATATGTATTAGGCATGCCTAAAAACCCCTCCAACCCCTATTGTCAAAAAAAACCCTATTGCCATGGTAACGGTAATCTACTCTTGTACGCATGTCCACCCTCATGCGCTCATCTCCTCCACTGCATTCCTTTCTATGTACGCTAGTCTTGCTTTGATAGAACGTTATCAACCCAAGGCCACAGGTGGTGTGCGGCAGGAGGCTTTTGCTTAGTCTGTAATGAATATGTAGTGTGGGAATAGTCTTGATGACTTTTGATAAGGTGCAAGAACGACACAGCACAATGATTTCTCAAATCCCACATCTTGCTGAATATAGCCAGTGAGATTTTCAAGTTCTTCCAGACGATGCTCTATGCTCTGACCATTATCAGTTAGATTAAAGCAACACATATTTTTAAAAGAAGAACAGCCATAATGATGTTTGAAAAGCAAAAAATCGATAACTGCTCTGTTATCCAAGATAGCTTCACGTAATTCCTGTTGTTCAGAATTAAGCAGTGCAATAGCCTTAGAAGTTGCATTTATTGCTTTGACAGCGTAACATGCGAGTTCAGCCAATGCCCTAGCATTACCAACGGCTAATTCAGGAACTCCTACAAGGGAAGCTGCTAATGAAACATATTCAGCTTTACTCAGCAAACTTACTTTAGAATTACAATCAGGAGGAAGGGAAACAGAGCGCTGAGTGCGAGATTGTGTTTGTGGTAGAACAATAGCAAGCCAACTAAGGCAACAAGTGATGTCACTAATATTGGCAGGAATATAATTAAAAGTGTGACTGCCACAGGTAAAGAACCATCCAGTAGGTAAAATGATATGGGCATAATTGAAAGACACTTTAGTGACATGAGGACATTTTAGTATGTCAGGGCCTATGTTAGAACACCGCTGAGCGCGTTTAGCACAATTAATAATGCGTGTGCAGGTCGTATTGCCACTAGCTATATATGGAGTGTGAAGAGAGATTGCAGATGCAGGTAAAATCTTGCTTGCTGGGCCCCATCTTGCCATGGTGTTATAACCCACAGCAACATTAGGAAACCCATAGAACATAGTCTCTTTAGTTATATTTGCAGGTTGCTTACACACTGGGATCAAACAGGTACCCAGCAATTCACCAGCTGAAAGAGAATTGGTTAAACAGAAATGAGTTACATTAGAAATATTAGCAAGACGTTCCCAAATGTTAAATGTCATATGTTCTCTTAAAGAAGGCAACACTCCCCCAATGGGCACAATTAAAAATGACACCATGAGGAGGTTAACACAGAGCCCAGGCCCACCAAGCATCAGTGCCAGGTAGTGGCTCGCCTTCTCCCCATTCTTCATCCTCTTCATCCCCTTCATCCTCTGAGTCGGTGGGCTCATGCTCAGAGGAATCAGTAGAGTCTTCATGGAGACCCTGACAACGTGTACACCAGAGATTATGCCAAAAAGTACAGTCAGTTATGGAAGGAGGATTGTGTTCTTCAGATAGGGCAAAGCGGCCTTGAGAATGTTCCCACACACGAATTAGATCTGGAAAGCTTAGCCTGCGTTGGAAAAACAGCCGAGGCTTCCACGCGTCGTGATAGTCAGGATTGCGAAATAGCCGAGGCTTCCACGCGTCGTGATAGTCAGGATTGCGAAATTGTAATTCTACCTTTCCCCACCCAAAGGGAGAGTCTGTGGGGTCAAAGTAGAACCAGATTAAACACAGATAGTAAGGGCAAACTGCAACAGGCCCTGCTATCAGTTCTGGCCCGTACGGGAATTGTAAAGGAACCAGAAACTGCTGGCCAAAGACTAAGTAACGGTATTCTGGACTCCAATGCTCAGAGTCGTCCTGTAGACTGTTGATGTATGGGAAGGCTTGCATTAGTGAGGTGCAAATAAAGAATTGCAGATTAGGTGTGAACTGAATTTGCAGTGATAACCGCAAAGATAGCAACACAGAGATTCTCGGGTGTCAGCTCTTTGCCCTGCTCCTGTAGCAGCTTCTCTGCGTCGCAGGTTACTCGCTTCACAGCACCCCAGGTCACCAGAGGAGCTTGTGTGGTCCTCAGTCACGGCTGCCGGGGGGGCTCGGTCAGGCTGGCGTTCTGGAGCTCTGGAACTGGATTCAGCCCCCCGTGATACCACTCCATGCGCTGGACGAACGCACTTGGCAGGAACCCAAAGAGGACCTGTGGGCGACAAAACAGAAGCATACCCTCTCCCCCAAGAGAACAAAGGAGCTGGACCCAGCCAAGTACGATCAGGCAGGGCACGGTAAAAAACCTGAGGCTGAGGAAGCTGTGGTCCGCTCCTAAAGTGCCGGTCATAGGCTGATGAAGAGACAGCTCCAGGGAGCTGAGAGAAATTTAATTGATTGCAAGTGAACAAGACCAAATGTACTTGCTTCATGATCCAAGCCTGAAATCTGTTGTGGTGTGTCGTTATTGAACCCTAACAAAGTCTACATATATGCTCATGCCTTGATGGAGGGAAACTTAGTATAACAAGATATCTTATGGATTTACACTATTAGAATAAAGTTGTATGTATTTTAATTCGTTTAAGTGAATGTAAGTAACACACCGTTTACTGCAGTGCTCAGACTGCTTTGTTGTATTGGCTGGGGGAAAAATTGTAATGTATGGAACTATTCAATAAAGATTTATTATTATAAAAAAGGCTCCTTTTTCTCCTCTAATCTAGGTACCAGTACATATGGCAAACTGAATCTGTTCTCAAAACCCAGAAAGATTGGTTCCATGCCATTCTACTCTTTTCTTTAAAAAAATCAACATGTTTCTTTTAAGACTCCAAGGCTGTGGTCAGGCCACATGCTCCAGTTGGAGTGAACGGGAAGTGAGGCTATCTCCGCTGGAGGAATTTGACATGCAGTTGCAAGATCAAACATCCCTTTGTAGCTGTGGGTGCAGTCCGCCACTGTGTGAT